GGTTCCCCTGTTCGGATCCTGGGCACTGACCTAGCACTGCTCCTCAAGCCATGCTGGGGTGGCGTCCCACACAGAAGAACTAGAAGGATGTACAACTAGGATATACAACTATGTGCTGGGGCTTTGAGGAGGAAAAAAAAAAAGAGGAAGACTGGCAACAGATGTTAGCTCAGGGTTGATCTTCCTCTCCCCCCAAAAAATAAAAGCATACCTTGAAAAAAAATAAAAAGTCTTTCATTTGTTTATTTTTTTTTTTTTGAGGAAGATTAGCCCTGAGCTAACTACTGCCAATCCTCCTCTTTTTGCTGAGGAAGTCTGGCCCTGAGCTAACATCCATGCCCATCCTCCTCTACTTTATATGTGGGACGCCTGCCACAGCATGGCGTGCTAAGCAGTGCCATGTCTGCACCCGGGATCTGAACCAACAAACCCCGGGCCGCCGAGAAGCATTATGCACGCACTTAACCGCTGCGCCACCGGGCCAGCCCCAAAAGTCTTTCACTTAAATATACAAGAAGTAAAGACTATCCAAATAATAGACTTTCAACACAGTGAACAGAACAACTTTCTCCACAGGTTAGAGAGGCATGAATTTCATCTAAACATGATGGCGTTTTTACGGTACAGTAGCCTGGCGGGGGTCACGGGTACCTGTGTGGAAGGACGCCCAGTGCAGGGGGCAAAGATCAACAGACTCTGGGACGTCTTCTGATGCCAGCTGGTTGAGACCCAAAGACAGCTATTTAACCCCTCTGTGCTCTGGACTCACTTGTACCACTGGGATGACCACGCCTATTCCAACTGGCGTTACAGGGTTGTTCCATGGCTCAACGAAGTAAGAGCGAGAACAGCATTTACTAAAGTTTAAATGACTCGATTACAATCCAGGGCCTTGCTAATAAAATTTTCATCCTATTTCTAAGAGATGCTCATGGGTCCTTAGAGACTGAAAATCAGCTAAAGTAAATAGGCATCAGATCGAAAGCAAGTCATCAGCAAAGAAAGTGTTTAACCCTTAAGATCTGCAAAAATCTTAATGTATTAAGAAGATGACCAATGTAAAAATGTCTTCATTTTTATCAATTTTCAAAAATAAATTCGATATATTTACATCGTCTAAACATCAGGGTGAACCCAAAGCACAAACACAGATTGAATCTTAAATGCGACTAAAGAAAATATGTAACACATAGTAAATCTGATAAAATAAAAATATAAAGAAAACATACCAGAATATCAAGCTTACATGAAGCCGCTACTTCTCGCATATGCCTGAACGGCTGCAGTAAATACTGGAAGAAGGCGGTCGCCATAGTCACTAACTCCTGGTATGCCTCATCTTCCTCTCCATAGACTTGCATCAATGCTACCATGGTGTCAGCCTTTTCATGTCCTTGAAGAACCTAGAAGGTCAAATATGGACAGCATTTATAAGATTACACGAAACAAACTAAGCAAAAGAAACCTTAATATTCTAAACCTTAATATGTCAATTTAAAAACTGATTAAATATGAAAATGCTGTTTTCTTGGGTAACCAAAATGCTCAATAAAACAAGAATGGTTAAATAAATCACGGTATAGCCGTGCCGGGATAGCATTACTGGAGTCACTCAGCCCTGTGCTTTCGGACGTTGTTTAATAACAGAGGGACTTTATAGTAATAAATGGTGGAGAAAGCAGAACTGGAAACTTTATCTCAACTACGTACGAAGTACTGAAAGAAGACTTGAAAGAAGCATCAAATATTAGCAGTGGTCATCTCCGGGTTGTAGATTGTGGATGATATTTCGTCACTGCTGTTCTGATCATAAAGGTTTAGTGAGGCTGTACTCCTGTTTTAAAAGCTCATGAGGACGTTATAGAAACGCCCCGTGTTTCTGCAGCACGCTGACTCTCTTAATTCCCCAGGTGAATACTACCACCAAGCCCCCAGCAGAGCAGACTCATTTACAGAGTCACGACTCTAGCTGTGGCCCTGGTCTCCGCAGAGCGCTTCTTCTGACACAGTGTAGAAAATAAACTGAGCGGTATATAATCTAGATAAACTCATTTGGTAAGAAATTCTCTTACCCCCAGGAGAAGAAAAATAAAATTGAGTAAAAGAATAGAGTTTTTTTCCAGTCAATACATGCTTAAATTCTTCTATTTCCATGCATATACACAAAGATAAAGTGATCTACGTTCAGCTGTAGTTTCATCCAGGTGACAAAAGTAGTATTTTTTTTAAAAAAAGCAAAATTTTCCCTGAAGAAAATTAAGACACACACACACACAAAAGTAAACTTAACACAAACTGGTCATTTTCAGTCCTATTTCTTAGGCTATTCAGAAGAATTCAAGACATTCAGCTTCATTTTATATATACCAGCAATATTAGCAATTGGTCTAATTCTAGAATCAATTGCTTTTCTACTCTAAAAATGAGGTATTATTTATACACCTTTCCATGGATGTGGTACACTGTGGCTTTAAGCCCTCCACCATCCTCCATTTTTAAGTTCCAGGTAAACAGGAGGCCTGCACCAGTGTGAAAAGCCAACTCAATAGTATGAACTATACTGGTGCTATAATACCCACGAATGAACTTCGATTTGGGTAAACTACAACTTTTACGATAGTAACAGAAATATGTTCATTTAAGGAAAAAGCACTTCTCTCTGTGAGAAACCAAGTGTCTAAAACATAAAAACTTGTCTGATACAAAACGATAAAGTTGAGGATCAAAAGTTGCCTGGCACGGGGCCGGTCCGGTGGTGCAGCGGTTAAGTTCGCATGTTCCACTTCGGTGGCCCGGGGTTCGCCAGTTCGGATCCTGGATGCAGACATGGCACCGCTTGGCACACCATGCTGTGGCAGGCGTCCCACACATAAAGTAGAGGAAGATGGGCATGGATGTTAGCTCGGGGCCAGTCTTCCTCAGCAAATAGAGAAGGATTGGCAGCGGATGTTAGCTCAAGCTAATCTTGCTCCAAAAAAATAAAAAAGCTGCCTGGCCTGAAACTGCCCTGTGGTTTCCTCATATTATAAAGTGAAATCAACCCATGAGAAGTGGGTGTGCAGATATTTACACATAAAAGCACAGTATAAAATGACATCACTAACTCTTTGGATAAAACCATTTTAATTTCAAAAGCTCATTCTAGGGGTAAAGGGGCGCATGTGTACAGTGACCAACAGCAACTACACTTTCGGTGATGAACATGACGTAGTCTACACACAAGTCGAAATATAATCACGTACACCTGAAATTCAGATAACGTTATAAACCAATGTGACCTCAATAAAAAATAAATAAAAAGCTCATTCTATATTTAGCTTGAGAGGATATAATTAAGATTGTGCAATGCGGCTGAATGCTTCTCTTACACCCCCTCTTCCTCAAAAGAATGCACGGAAAAATCATCCAGATTAAGAATGGCCTGTAAGGAGAAAGGGCCAGCAAGAGGACACGTCCAGGGTGAAGGAGACAGCGCTAAACTTGGCTCTCCTGAGTAAACTGTGGATATAGACGCCATATTTTCTCCTAAACCCTCTGTAAACTTGTATTCCTCCTCCCCTTAAGTTTTATAAGTTCACCCCTCCAATTATGAAGAGCTCGGTCTCTGAAATGATCTCTTTCAAGCTTAAAATCGCACTCCTGTTGTTGCTGTTCCAAATTGAGGAACAAGGCTCACTTCCTGTCGGCTTTCCGTTTGACCCAGTCTTTATTAGTTTAAAAACCAGTCTCCTAGAGGCCCTTTCACCCTCTAACGCGTCTGTCCCCATCACTGATCTGCCCTAGCACACAGAACGCGGACCTGTTTACACTTAGCCTGTGTCATTCTTCCCTACGTAGAAGGGACATTTCCAGTTTTGCTTTCGATACTTTCTGGCATTTCCCGTCACCACAGCCTGCTGGGCCAGCATCGTCGGTGCAAAGGTGGAGGGCCCGCCCCGCTGCTGCTTTAACTCGGTCTGCCCTCGCGCCAGGCCTCCCGCGGCGCCCGGCCGGGGATGTGCCCTGCACCCCTGTGCCCCTTTCCCCCGTCCGACCGGGAGTCGCCCCTTCCTGGTCCCTTCCCCCGGGATGGGCCCCGCGCCCCTGCGTCCCCGGGCCCCTTGCTCCAGTCCGACCGGGAATCGCCCCTTCCCCTGGGACGGGCCCTGCGCCCCCGCGCCCCCGCACCCCCTGCGCCCCTTCCCCCGGTCCGACCGGGAGCCGCCCCTTCCTGGTCCCTTCCCCCGGGATGGGCGATGGGCCCTGCGTCCCTGCGCCCCCGCGCCCACGCGCCCCTTGCCCGGGTCCGACTGGAAAGCGCCTCTTCCCAGCCCCGCCCCCGGGACGGCCCGCGGCGGGGACCCGGCGTACCTGGCGCAGGCGCGCGCCCGCCTCGGCGCACCGCGCGCGCAGGGCGCGCTCCCGGAAGGCGCGCGGGCTCTCGCAGTCGACCTCGGCGCCGTCGGCCGGGAAGAGCGCGGCGCGCACCGCCGCCCCGCCGCAGCCGCCGGCCGCCTCGCGCAGGTAGCGTTCCAGCTGCGCGCACAGCTCCTGCAGCGCCGCCTCGCCGGGGCCCGCGGGCGCCGGCCACAGCAGCGCCCAGAGCCCGCGCCCCAGGCTCCAGGCGCCGCCGCCCGCCTCCAGCCCCGGCGGCAGCGGCGGGAAGCAGCGCTCCAGCGGCGGCCACAGCGCCGCCAGCTGCCGGTGCGCGCCGCGGAGCCCGGCGGCCGAGAGCAGGCCGGCCCAGCTGGGCGCGGGCGCGGCGGCCCCGGGCACGGGCTGGGGCTCGGGCTGCTGCCCCAGCCGGCTCCTCTCGCGCCGCCGCCGCTGCGCCGTGCGGTCGTGGCAGGTCACGGCGAACTTGCCCTCCGCGTCGTTCCAGGCCACAAGGAAGCGCAGCTGGTGGCGCTCGGGTGCGGCGAAGAGGTCCTCGCGGACCGGCACCCAGCCCTCCAGGCTGTCGGGCTGCTCGTCTGCCAGGGCCGCCGGCGGCCAGGCCGGCCCCGACCGCGACATTTTCCGCCGGGCGCTACCCCGCGTCCGCGTCCCCATCCCCGCCCCACCCCGGCACTTGTGATTGGCTGTGCGCGCCCCGAGCCCTCCCGCAGGCGTCCGGGATTGACCCAGTAATAGGAGGGAGGGTTTGCGACAGCGACCCGGCCCTCGGAACCGGTCAATGATGTCGCAAGCTGGTCTGGAGCCCGGGAATGACCGCTCTTGCCTCACCGTTTGCACCTTTGCGCACACTGACGGTAACGAAATCTTCGTTCAATGAACGAGTCATTGTCAGCCTCTTACCCTGGACTGTGACCCACTTCAGAACGGGGGGGACCCAGCCGATTCTGTGTGGTGTCATCGGGGCCCTAGTGAATACGTGGTTTCTGCTCTCAAGAATGGTACCGACTTGCTGGAGAGCTCCAACATTAAATTAAACCTAATAGTTATTTATTGAGGGCCCTGAGCGCCAAGCACTGGGTAGAAATCACAAATTTATTGTAATCCATTCAGCGAGCTTTGATGGAGTGTCTGCTGTGTGCCTGTTTTGGGCGGGAGGCACAGGGGCATACAAAAAAGATATTTCTGTCTTCAAAGCGTCCCAGCTCCCAGCCGAGATGTTTAAATACAATCTATGTCCTAACCCATTTCAGACACAAGGAAAATGAGACCCAGAAAAGAAATTTGTCTTAAGATACACTCTCAGACTAAATGAGACCACCTGGCCACTGCAGCCCTGATTAAGGAGACGGGGCAATGTAGCTTGCGTGGGAGGATGGAGAGTGGGGTGGAGCTGGACCTGTTTATGCCACAGGGAACAACACAGCCCTGGTCTCTGCCCAGGAAAGGTACAGGGTAGACCGAGAAACACAGCACCTGTCTGCTCCCATCCCTTGAGCGCACTGAGACGGGGACTGGGGTGAGGGGAGGCGGGGGCGGAAGAGCCCTTCACCGAACCAAGGCTTGGGACGTCTCGATTCAGGAACCAGAGAAAGAACTTTTGAAGGTTTTGAGCTGGGAAAACCTGGAATCTGATTTGCACTTGCCGTTATGCCCAAGTAAAAACAACAAAAACAGGACCAGGCTGAAGCTACGGTTAGGGCATCCTGCCCCCCACCCCACTCCAAGGTGAGCCCAAGCCTCTAGGGCCCTCTGTGGACCGCAGCTTGAAGGTCTGAAGTTGCCTCTGTCTGAAGGTCCCCGTCCCCAATGCCTGTGTGTGGGGCTTTGTGGCCACCAACTCAGAAGTGCCGGGCTGGCTAACACCCAGTCCTCTTGGAGAAAGGGCGTTTTAGCTGAAGTCATTTATTTATCTCATATTATTTTAGCTAATGTAAGTCACTTATAATTCTTTAATATCTTTTTGTGGATTCTTTACAGTGTGTCTTTTTATTGTATTTGTTTTATACTATTTTATCCTTTCTAGTAGGTTTTCTAATTTATTTGCTTTTTCAAAATGAGACCAAACAGGCTTTCTAATTACAAAAGTAATTTGTACTTTGTGTGTGTGAGAGGGGGGTAAGTTTGTATAGTCTTAGGAAAAAAATATGGAAAAATACACACCAAACCTAATAATTGTTGTTACCAGGAAGCATGACTGGTTTATAGTCACTTTATGGTTCTTTTGTTGTATTTGCTTTTTTCTAAGCCAAACACCACATATTATTTTACAATAAAAAAAATTTTTAATTAATAAAAGGTATATATAAGTATTATAAAAATAGACACTATCAAAGATATAAAGAAAAAGTAAAAGAACTCAAAGGAGATAAATTCTGCACTCATTTTATAAGGGTGTGTGTATATATATGTATATAATATAAATATGTGATTATACTATAGTGATATTTTTCATACTCCTTTTCTACTTAGGAATATATTGTGGGCATTTTCCACATTAAAAAAATAGGCATCTACATCATTATTTTTCATACTTGCCAATATTGAGTTGACTGTATTATGATTTAACAAATTCCATATTGACAAATGTTGATAAATTTCAGTTTTCTGCCAATATAGACAATGCTGTGGTAAACATTCTTGTACCTACTATATCCTTGCATAATTTTTTCTTTCAATGTTTTTGCTTTTGATATTTTATTTTGCTTCCAATATTTTTACTTTATAGATGCATGGCAGTAATGGTATTTTAAAAATGAAATTTTGATTGAGGCTTAAAAAAGCAATAGATGTAAAATTCTGAGATTAAATCACTATATGTAGACTTTTAAAGGAAATGGTCCAGAACCCAATTCATGCTCTCAGCTGACTGGTGAAAATAAAAATGGATCAGAGTGAAGAAAAGAGGGTGTTTGGAGGAAGACTGGGGGAGTGATTTCTCTGGAGAGAGCTGTATTGGGCCGGGAGAGGGTTGGAAGTCCCACCTTCTCTACACGCAAGCCCAATGAGCAAGTCTTCAAAGGGACCATTCAGAGAGCTTGTTCTGTTTCCTGCAGGTTGCCCAATGGTGGCCCGAGGTGAGAGGACTGGCTGCTTTGGTGGAGAGCAGGGGAGATGCCTGCGTTGGGGTCATCTGCATCCCAGAGTTTGCTGGGACCAAGGATGGGGCCTACATTCTAAGATCCAGATGTGGGCCAGCAAGAAGACAGAGCCAGCAAGGAATCACCTGGATCCTGCCTGAGAGAGCCAGCTGCATGGGTGAGGAGACCCCATCTGAGAGCTCTTGGAGGTGGCCCACCAGGGCCTGGAGGAGGAATGCAAGGGACACCCTGGAATAGAGGGGTTCTCAGCCTGGTTGTGGGACCTTCAGGGGCAAGATCTCCAAAATGGGAAACTCTAGAGGTGTACAAAAGCTCTGAGAGAGAGAGAGAGAGAGCTCTAAGCATCTGCTGGCCCCAGAGAGCCTGAAGCTAGGACCCACTGCGACATCAACTCAAATAGGAGTTGTCTTATCACCTTAGTGCCTCCTGCCCTGGCCTCCAAACCAGCAGCTCAGGGAAGAGGTGCAGGGAGAAGAAGCCGACCTCGTTCCTCCTTTCCCAGGGTAGACTTCCGCTAAACAGGCCCAAGATGGGGAGGAGGGAAGATCCTGATGCTGGCTACACTCAGTTTGGCTTTTTAATTAGTATATCGGACTGTACATTCAATTACTAAATGCAGGCTATGCCTTCAAGTGACCACAGGACTCTGTTACCTCAGAGGGAGCAGAGAGTCATGGGTCTGCTAGATTTTTATCTAGAGGTGTATAATTCCCACCCTGAGTAAATGTTGAAGGAATGGTGGGAGAAAAAAAAATTAAGTTGCATTTGATTACATGCAGAGTTGTGCTTCTTCAAAACACTTCGGGAAAAGACCCTCAGCCCGGGTGGCAGGTGCACAGCACGAGGGCTCTTGGAGGTCTTCCTCCTCTGTGTGGCCACAGCAGCCCTCCTGCCCTTGCTGTGACAGCCCCCAGCCCTCTACACATGACTGGCCATCTGAGTTCCCCAGTGGACTCACAGGACTCAAATCCTCACAGTAAATGGAGAAACTCAGGGCACAGCATGTGACCTCTCCTAGTGACACTTGAGCAGTAAGAAGTGGCAAGACGGCCTGGGCAGGTCTATATTTGGGCCTCCACTCACGGCAGGCCTGTTGCTATTTGCAGCCAGAGCATTCTCCCGTTACGGTCGCCTTTGCTGCCCCACTCGCAGAACTCTGGTGTGACACAGGCCAGGGCAGCTGTGGGACGCACAGAGGTCACCGTGAGGAGGGAAAGCCTGCCGAACTCACTCGGACGCAGTTTTCTAGCAGGTATCCAGGGCCTCAGAGTTAAAAGAAGAATTTATGGACCCTTAAATTGGCAGGCAAGTTTGGGGATAGTCATATTCTTCTAATACAAGTTGTATTGTTAGAAAGGCAGTAACTTAATGCCAAAATGTTAACGCACTATCTTTCCTTTAGGTGTGAAGAGAGATCTTAAATTGCAGGTGGGTAGATTACAGTAAACAGGGTGAATATTTTCTGTGCCTCCTTGTAGCAAGGATTCACCCTCACTGAAAGCTGTGTGACAGCCTCAGATGCAGACAGAGGTAGGCTGGCGATTCCTGCCATGTGTCTTCAGAGTATTTTTAGTGTAGGGGCCCATTTGCTAGAACAGTTTGCAACCCTAAATGTTGATATCATCTGGCTATGGTATCGGGTTGATAAATACCTTTTGTTTTATCTGCATGCGCCTGCTGACAAATCGTAATTTCATGCTTTGATTCAAACGCTGAGAAACAGCGTTGTAATCATCTTTCACGCATTTGGCATACCCCCTCCTCCAAGAGAGAGGGGTCAGAGGTTTGCACTGTGCCTGTAAAGCTGATTTGAACCATTTAGCATAACTGTACAGCTAACCCTTTAAAGCAAGTTTCTTTAGTTGTGGCTCAGGAGTTGCTGGGGACTACTCCTAAAATTATATGCAGAATTATGTTTGTGTCCTTATGGGCCTACTTTGAGAGAGACAGTTTACAGCTTTCAATAGATTCTCAGAGGCACCCATCACCCATAAAAAGTTAAAGAACACTTTTTTGGAGACTTTTCTCTTTAAAGCACAGGGACACACCTCCCATATAAGACTTAAGCAAAAGTCTTTTTTTTTTTTTTAAACTGCAGCCCTATGGCCTAGAGTAGAAGCTTTCTAGCTAATATATTCTTTATAGACTCTGATTTATTCCTTTATTTCTCTAAGCCTCAGTTTCATCATTTATAAAATGGCAATTTATTGTTAATGTTCTTTTCTTCCCAAATTCCAGATACTTTCTTAGGAAAGTGAAAGAATCTGGGCATTGAGGGGAAAATGTCAACTCTGGAGTCGTGCTGCAAACTTCCTACTTTGATGCCAAGCGCGCAGACCCGTTTGTGTTTGTGTGTTCAGAGGGCGAATGCTGGCCTGGAAGATTTGTTCTTTGTAGCATTTGTGCTCAGTGTTTTCCATCTTCTTCCTTGTGTAACAGTTCAATTCAGTGTTTCACATTCCGGCTCCTGGTTGAAAGAATTTCGCACGATGATTTATTGGTAATACAGAATTCTGGTTTTCTCCCTTTTGGTAGTACGTAGAAATGGAAGTGTTATTTTTAGCAGGCCGCTCCTCGGTCTGTAGGTGATGTGGTTTAGTGGAAAACTGGGTCCCAATCCCATGCTTCACCTGGCTGGTTCTGTGTCCAGACCCCAGCTTCAGGGCTGGATGCAGAACAGCCCCGGATCAGTCGTCGTTAAATGGAATTGGCCGCAGCAAGGCCTTTATCCTCACAGAAACCCAGTTTTGCCGTCCTAAACTCGGGAAATTGAGTTAGCTGCTCTCCAAGGGACCCTCCATCACTAGAATCCACATCTCCGCCTAGGCCCTTGGAAGCTTGTGCTGTCAGGAGGGTGACCCCATAGCCAGTGTCTGAGCCTGGATAGGGGGCTGCTCTGCTTTGGTGCCTTCTCCCACCGTCTGCTGTTTGCAAGGGACAGAGTGATCCCACAGGGGCCACTGTGAGTTTTCACCCTCTGACCCTGGTCCTCACCCTCCAAGAGTGACCAGGTGAGAGACTTCTATCCTAGCTCAGGTAGGAGGGGCCGAGGTCCAAATAATAATAATAGTAACAACAACAACAATAATGACAGCAGCTAACATTTATTAAGGACTTACTTCGAGCCACGTACTATGCTAAGCATTTTACATACATTGTTATTTCATCTATATGCCAACTGTGGGTCCAGTCCTGTGGCCGAGCGGTTAAGTTCACGCGCTCTGCTTCAGCGGCCCAGGGTTCACTGGTTTGGATCCTGGGCGTGGACACGGCATCGCTCATCAGGCTGTGTTGAGGTGGCGTCCCACATAGCAGAGCCAGAAGGACCCACAACTAGAATATACAACTATGTACTGGGGGGCTTTGGAGAGAAGAAGAAGAAGAAGAAAGAAAATTGTCAACAGATGTTAGCTCAGGTGCCAATCTTAAAAAAAAATTTTTTTAAATGCTAACTGTATGAGGTAGAAACTATTAACAAGCCCACTTCTTGGACTCCTGAAAATAAGGCCCGGAGAGATGATTTTCTCAAGGCTACACTGCTAGGAAGTAGCAGAGACAGAGTGCAAACACGGGACTTTCTGAATCCAGAGGCCTTACGAAGGGGTGAGGGGAGCAGGTAGAGGGATGTTGTCTCTAGACTGAGGAGAGGAACCAGAGTCAGCATTAACTCGGCGTTAATTAGATTGGGTGATGTCAAGGCTGAGCTCCTGGTCTCTGGTTTGGGTGCTAAGGGTGTCATGCTATTGTTAGTGGGTTTTAGGAATGCAGTGGCCCTCATGAGGATGTGACAGGCTCTGGCCTTGGTGGATGGGTAGGAGCTTAAGGGGCAGTGGTGGGATGGGGAAGGGGGGCAGCCCTCAGCGGGAAGAACAGCCTGAGCCGGGGCCTCACGTGGTACTTAATGCGAGAAGCCTGAGAGTGGTCAGAAGGAACCGCCGTGTCCACTGGAGATGGTGAGGCCATTTGGGGAGGTGGAGCTAGGACATGAGGGGTGCCTGATGCCCAGGGGAGTTGAGACTTGCCCAGAATACAGGACATGCAGACTTGTCACTTCTACTGAGCAAGGCATCATGATGCTGTTCTGGACCAGACAAGGACGCTCGTGGGGAGAGCCGTGGGGCGCACAGCCAGCAGACCGTAGAGACAAGATGGTTTCAAGGGAGATTTCTGTGTACAGGATGACACTCGGGGCCACAGAGGGAAACAGTGTGATTTTGGTCTGTGTGACCAGAGCCTGTGCTTGAAGAGGGAGCATGTCCTGGGGTCTCAGGACAGAAGGAAGTAGTGTCTCTGAGGAGCTTGGCAGCAGCCCAGATGGGTCATTACTTATTCACTTGTCTGGCGCCTTTTTTATACCAGGAATTGTGTCTCATTCACTATAGCCCAGCGCGTAACACAGTTCTGTTTTCTTGAACCCACGCCTCTCCGGCCCCATGAACAGTCAGTGCTGGGGCAGTGAATGTGCTCAGTGCCACAGCCCACCCATGTGATGGCACCAGCGGGAGTCCCAGAAGGACCTTGGGCTTCCCCACACAATCTCTGGGTGGGTTCAGACTTCCCAGGTCACTAATGTTGCCCCACAGCGTGCTGGGCCCAGGATACTCCGGCATGACCAGGTAGGACCTAGAGTGCCCCTGAGGCAGAGGCAGCAGCCAGGAGCCCAGGTGGAGTGAAGATGGGGAACGCTCCTAAGCTCAGAGACAGGCTGCTGTTGTTGGCTCATGAGAGGCCCCTGGAGGGAAGAATGACCCTTTCATCCTCTCAGCTCCTATTTCCGGATCTAATTGCTCTCCGCCTCATTCCCCTCCTCCCCCTCTTCCGTGAGGCCGTGCCAGAGCTCAGAGCAAGTGTTAATGGTAAGACATTATTTCTATACAATGGGGTTATTGTTTTTATCAAGTTTTATTAAGATATAATTGACATAATTGTGTAAGTGTAAGGTATACAATGTGATGATTTGATACACAGATTTATTGCAAAATAGCTCCCACAATAAGGATGATTACCACCTCTGTCAACTCACAGAATTACCTTTTTTTAATGTGTGTGTGGTGAGAAACTTTAAGATCTACTCTCTTAGTAACTGTCAAGTATACAGTACAGTATTATTAACTGTAGTCACCATGCTGTGCATTAGATCTCCAGAACTTCTTCATC